GCCTGCATTCTCTCCCATTCAACCAACCTGCACCATTTCCATGAGAGTTCAAATCTCCTCAAACCTGTCATGATCTCTTGTAGGGTTCCTTTAACCCTCCTCTTTAAGGGCTAAAGTCCCAGTTTACCAGCCTAGGAGTTAAATTCTCAGTCGTGGGATAAACCTTTTCTTTCTCTTTACTCTCACTCTAAAGGGATCTCATAAAGGAGAGGAGATAAACACAGGTGCTTAGTTTTCCTTCTTAAACTAGAAGCCATACTGTTGGATCACAAAGAACCCAAGGGCCAGCCAGGTCTCCAGGGCTCACAGGTCCAGCAATTTGATCCCTTCCCAGATTTGATCATAATAAACTGGTAGAGAAAGCTCACAATTTCACACCTCCTGCCTTTCCCTGTTTCTTCCCCTAGAGCTCTAGAACCTCCAAAGCCCTCTTGTAGACCAAGATCTGAGATGTGGTAAAGCTGCCCCATCTCCTTCCAGGCACACTATCCCACAATTTCTCCTCACCCTGCTGGCAACTGTACCTCCAGCCAGCCTTATGCTGGTTCTCTAGACCAGAATCAGGCACAGATCTCTATGTGACACCTGTCAGGTAGCCCCCTACCACCCCAGGCTCAGCTTAGATTTAACTTTGTCTCCTATTCCCAGTCATTCTTGAAAACTGACCAAGCCCAGAATCAGATGTACTCCATGAGGGTTATCCCTGTCTTACACTGTGAGATGGCAGCCAGTCACATACACAGAGCCTGCCATCTGACACTCCCATGTGAGAAGCTCCTGGCCTCTCCTTCCAGAGCCCTCTGCCCCTCCCCTTCAGAGAGGAAGCCCAAACCCACAGTTCTGCTTTTGATCAGCTGCCAAATAATCCTCATAAGGCACCTTGCTTTCAACTCTCCACAGTAAGCCCCCAAAGACCCAAGTAAAAGATGGAAGATGTAATGGGAAGCTGAGGGCCTTGGAAGAGCTGTTTCTAAGCTATGACTATAACAGCTTTGGCTTCCTAGGCTGGGGAGGGGATGGGGGGGGCGGTTACCCATCTTTCCTATTTCTCCCATTTTTCTTCTTTTCTCCAAAGCACCTTCTCATCTAGGACTCTCATACATCCTGAGATGTTATTCACAGCTAGTGGGCACTGAGGCCATGAGTTCTCTGCCCCCTCCCAGATACCTCTGTAAACAGGTCCTCATCTCCCTGGCATGGCTCAAGACTTCCTCATCCTGCACTTACTTGGTGGCATTATTCTCCCTGCAATTCCCCCCTCCCCTGCCACCCAGAGTGTCCAACATAGCTTGACACATGACAGCAGCCTGGTTAGTATTTTTATGTTGGTCAAAGGAATGGTCTCTTTTTGTTTCTCCCTGCCCAGTCTTGTTAGTCAACAAGAGGCTCCTTAAACACACCCCTCCACCTGTGGCCCGAGTTCATACCAGCTCCACATTCCCTCTGTCCTCTGTCCTACCTGTTCAAATCCTGCCCTGCGTAGTCCCACTCCGCTAACAAATATAGGCACTGCCCTGGGGCCCTAACAGATATTAATTCATTCAGTCTTCATGCCGGTAGGTAGACACTACTCTTATCTTCATTTTACAGATGAGAAACTAAGACACAAAGAGGTCAAACAGCTAACATAGGGCGGAGGCTAGATTTGGAGCCAGACTGTCTGCCCCACCTCCTTTAACCATCCCGCCAAGTGGCCTTTCCCACCCTCCAGCACTTAAACCCTCCCTCCCTAGAACGAGGCCACTTATTTAGTGTAGCAATGGGAAGTTTTATTTCGACATCCGATATGGAGTAAAGTAACAGTGCAGAAGTTGGTGTATGCAGACCAGTGCGTCCTGGGCTGGGTCTGAAGGCTGTAACCATATAAGTAGTCTCTTGTTCCTTCGCCCATCATAGGCCCGCAAAGCCTCCAACACCCTCTGGAGTTCTCCACACCACGGTACTGGACAGAGGTGTTTGAGACCCTCCTTTGTCCAGTCCCCTGAGAGAAGAAAGGAGGTGCAGCAGATCCATCCGGGCTCTCCCTGGAGGAGACCCGCCGCGGCATGGCGTGGTCCAGTCAGCTGGCTGCAGATCCCAGGCACTTGCTGCTCTCTGGCGGCCGGAGCCGGGAATCCGGGGACCCGGGAATCGCACCTTCTACACTCGGCGCGCCCAAGGGCACCAGCAGTGACCGAGACGCTGGGGAAAGGGCGGGAGGGAGACTTAACTGAGTGGTAAGAGGGAGGAGGCGGGGTAGGGGGTGCGGGAGGTTGAAGGCAGCGGACCGCGAGGGGAGAGGGCGGGCGTGAGCACCCGCGGCGCGGCGGGGGTGGCTTCCGCGGGGTCGGAGCGCGAGCCAGCGCCACCGCCCCTTGGGACCCCGGAACGCCAGCTCGCCCAGAGCGCAGATCCCCTTCTTCCGGCAACTGTGGTGCCGGGTCCCTCGGTGCCAGCGCCCCCTCTTCATCCCCGGCGCTGCCCTTCCTCCCCTCCGTCCCGGCCCCGCGCCCAGTAGCTAGCACCTCAGTGGTCGCCGCTCGCACGACCCTGCCCCGAGCCGCCGCTTTGCCCGCTCGCCTGGGCACGCTGCGAGAGAGGCGCGCGTCGCCAGCCCCGGCTCTTCGGTCCCACTCCGCGGCCGCCCGCTCCGCTCGCGGGCAGCAGTGCTCCACGTCACAGGAGCTGAGGCAGGACCCCTACAGGACCAGCGCGCGGGTCTGGAGCCGGAGCCCCCAGCCCTACCAGTCGCTCGTCCTGCGCCCAGGCCCGGCCCCCGACGGCTGCACGTTGAGATGACTTTCCGCTATCTCCTGAACGTCAGTTTCGAGGGACCCTGCTCCGACAGCAGCGCCGGGAGCTCCAGCGCGGGCGGTGGCGGGGGTGGCGCGGGCGGCGCGGCCGCCTCCGAGGGCCGGGCGGTGGACGGCGTGCGGGTGACCGCAGGCGGTAGCAGCGGCGGCGGCGTGGTGGGCGCGGGCAACGGCGAGGACAACCGGAGCTCCGCTGGGGAGCCGGGGGGCACCGGCGCCGGCGGCGAGGTGAACGGCACGGCGGCCGTCGGGGGGCTGGTGGTGAGTGCGCAGGGCGTGGGCGTGGGCGTCTTCCTGGCCGCCTTCATCCTCACGGCCGTGGCGGGCAACCTGATGGTCATCCTCTCCGTGGCCTGCAACCGCCACCTGCAGACGGTCACAAACTATTTCATTGTGAACCTGGCCGTGGCCGACCTGCTGCTGAGCGCCACGGTGCTCCCCTTCTCGGCCACCATGGAGGTTCTGGGCTTCTGGGCCTTCGGCCGGGCCTTCTGCGACGTGTGGGCCGCCGTGGATGTGCTGTGCTGCACGGCCTCCATCCTCAGCCTCTGCACAATCTCGGTGGACCGGTACGTGGGCGTGCGCCACTCGCTCAAGTACCCAGCCATCATGACCGAGCGCAAGGCGGCCGCCATCCTGGCGCTGCTCTGGGCTGTAGCCCTTGTGGTGTCTGTGGGGCCGCTGCTGGGGTGGAAGGAGCCGGTGCCCCCGGACGAGCGCTTCTGCGGCATCACGGAGGAGGCGGGATACGCTGTTTTCTCCTCCCTGTGCTCTTTCTACCTGCCTATGGCCGTCATTGTGGTCATGTACTGCCGCGTGTATGTGGTAGCGCGAAGCACCACGCGCAGCCTGGAGGCTGGAGTCAAGCGCGAGCGGGGCAAGGCCTCAGAGGTGGTGCTGCGCATCCACTGTCGCGGTGCAAGCACTGGCTCAGACGGAGCCCACGGTGGGATGCGCAGCGCCAAGGGCCACACCTTCCGCAGCTCACTGTCGGTGCGTCTGCTCAAGTTCTCCCGTGAGAAGAAGGCGGCCAAGACGCTGGCCATCGTCGTGGGCGTCTTCGTGCTCTGCTGGTTCCCCTTTTTCTTCGTTCTGCCACTGGGTGAGTGACCCCTCTCCCACCAGCCCCTTCTCTTCCTCCCTGAGCCTGTGACCATCCCTTCCTGGCACCCAGACTTGAATGGCCCTTCCCAGTGGAGGGTGACTCTCCACCTGAACATGGAAGGTTTACTGCCTGGTCTCTTAGACACGTGTGCATGCTGCTTTGTGGGACACAAATAGGCTCTTCATGCTTGCAGAATTTGTTTTATGAGCTTCTAACTTTTCTGGCCTTCCCCCTTCTTCACTGCCATTACAAGCCCTGGGCTTGTTTTACACTCCCAACTCCTCTAAATACAAAAGGTCAGTGGAAATCTGTGCGGGCATCTGCTCCCGTAGTATGTGGTGAGCAGTGTATGTGCTTGTCTACATATCTCCCTCCCTCCACCACCAGGGCCTACATTCATTCATGGGCAGCAATCCCTGGCCAGTCTACGTGAACATCAGCAGACACCGGAAGCCACCTGCTTTCTCTCAGTTTGGAAGCTGGGCCTCCCTGGGAGGCCCTCCCCAGCTGGTATCTGTGAATGCTGTGGGCTCTCATTTCTGAAATCTCCTCTTGAGGGGGGGGGACGGTGTGTGTGGGGGTGAGAAAGAAAGGGAAAGGGCATCTTATCAAATGGAAAGTTAATATTGTTCATCGTAGTTTCTTAAATTTACAGAGTCCTAGCACTTCTGGAGAACTTTGTTATTTCTTTCACAGGCTTTCCTGTAGTCCTGGGAGGTGGGCAGCTGTTCTCAGGACCTTCCTCCCATGCCTTGAGGCCCCTCCTGGAAGCCTTGGGGCTCGGTCAGCACAGGGAGAAGAAAGGGAACAGCATCTATGGGGTTGCTTTTGCCCTGAGTCACTTCACCCACAGGTGCAACCAGCCTGCCCAAGCCAGGACCTCCCATGTACCTGTAATCACCCACATTGAACAGATGATAACATTTCACCATATTTGCCTCAGATCACTTCCTCTCTCTCTTTTCAGATAAACAGAACAGCCACAACTAAGTTCCCTCCTCCTGTCCCTTCCTCATTTTCTCCCTCTCTCCGCAGAGGTAAATCTAGTGTTTATCACTCCCACACACATGTTTATACTCTTACTACAAACACCTGAATGCATAATAATAAATAGCATTGTTTTGTGTGTCCTTTGGACTTATATAAATTGCACCAGCTGTGCACATCCATCTTCAGTTTGCCCTTTTCACCCAATGTTTTGTCCTTGAGATTTATCCATTCTGGTTATTTTAGCAACAGTATAGTATTCTGTTTGAAAGTATGCCATGGTGTGTTGATGCAGTCTCCTGCTGAGTGTTCGGTTTTTCTAATTTTTTGCTGTTACAATCAACACTGCAAAAGGCTACTGTTTTTTCAGGTCGAGATCACGTCTCCCTCTTCCAAAAAGTCATCCCTAAATCTCCATGGCCTCTGCCCTTGCTGGCAGACACTGCTCTTCCTCAACCCCTCATCTCTGCTGCTCCTCACACCTCGTGTGGGAACCCTGGGGCTATCTTGCCTCTCCCTTCCTGCTGGTCTGCACTGTGCCCAGCCTCCCATGGCATCTCACCAAGTCTAGAACAAAGCCCAGGGCCACAATGGAGCTGAATTTAGTGGAACCTGGTAATAATGAGCAAGCAGGACAGAGGCCAAGCAGGGAAACAGAATATTCTGATCTGCCATGATGTGGCTTGGAGGGCAGGACAGCAGAGAGAACAGGAGGACAGAGCCTGTGGTACAAGCAGGAGTGGCCTGAGGGTTGTGCAGGAAGAAGGGGGGCCAGGAGCAACCCCCACCAGGAGCTCTGGGGCCAGGCCTGGGAGGAGGGAGGCATCTTTGGAGGAAAAGGGAACATTCTGAGCAGCAACTTTTGGGGTTGAATGTGGAATCCAAGGGGATGGCATATTTTGGTAGGAGGCGCCAGTATGTGCTTGGGGGAAGAGGATGTTGGGAACTTAGATAAGGGGTGGATATGGTTGCAGAAGCAGGAGTGTGGGGTACAGTCTCCCAGAAAGAGGATGGATGGACAAAAAGAAGAGACGGGCTGGGGAAGGAGCCTTGGGGAGTACCCACTTTGAAAGAACCCAGAAGGAGGCAGAGAAGGTGGCAGCCAGGAGAAGGTGGTACCACCCTCCTTGCAGGCCCTGGTTCCCACACCAGGTGTGAGGAACAGCAAACGTAGGAAGATTGAGAAAAAGCACTGTGTGCCATCCAGGGCCACAGGCCATGGAAATGAAGGTGCCCAGTAGGGCCACAACCTGGGGTTGTTGAGCAGACCCAGGGTGCCCTTCACCCACATCTCCACACACAAAGCCAAGTGGAAGCAGGAGCCCCAGCCACAGCAGTGATATGGCCAGTGAGCAACCCCAATAGCCTGGAGGATATCAAAAGCTTTAGGAAGTGGGCCCAGGGTCCCAGCAGTACACTGGCACAGGTGGCCGTGAACAGCCATCTATCACCTGAAGTGTTTTAGTCAAGCCAGAGCTGCAGCAGAGGGAGATACAGACAAGGTATGCTGACCTGTGGGGCCATTGGGGCCCAAGTTGCTGGGCAGGAAAGAATGCGACACAAGCACAGGGCACCTAAAATCCTGAGGGTCTCAGAGAGGGACTAGGGGTCATCCCCCACACCTCCGTTTCCCTGTCTGTGACTCGATCTAGGCAGTGACTACATTGGTGAATATATATGTAAAGTCATCAGTCTATACTTTTAAAATGTACACACTTTATAAACTTGACTGCCCGTATCTTATGCCTTAATGTGAGAGAGAGAGGGAGAGAAGGTGGGAGGAGGCAGGAGGAGGTTGTGAGCCATCTGAGGAATTGGTGTCCAGGCTGGAAAGCACACTTTGGCAGCCAGGTGTGGAGGGCAGATTCAGCGTCTGCGTCCCAGAGTGCTGGCCAAGTGCTGAAGGACCCATCTCCACAGGCTCCCTGAGGTGGTGCAGGGTCCACAGACTCAAGGAGAGAGGCAGGGTGTGCGCTGCAGCAAGTTCTCAGGAATGGCATTACTGTTCCCTGGCCCAAAAGCCTGAAGAAGAGGCTGGCATTACATCTCCTATCTGTGCCTCTGTGGCACCTGGCACGTAGTAGATGATTGGTCATAGTAGATGCTTGGTCAGTGTGTGTATAGGAGGAAGAAGTGGCAGAACCCATGGCCTTTTCATATCCTTCTGTGCCGAGGATCTGGTTGACAAAGCACAGCCCTCTATCTTTACTATTATTATTATTATTATTCCTGTGGTAAGAACACAACATGAGATCTACCCTTTTAACAAATTTTTAAGCATGCAGTATTGTTAACTCTAGGCACAAGGTTGTACAGCAGATCTGTAGAATTTATTCATCTTGCTTAACTAAAACTTTATGCCTATTGATTAGCAACTCCCCATTTCCCCCTCCCCTCAGCCCCTGGCACCCACCATTCCACTCTTTCTTTGAATTTGACTATTTTAGATACCTCATGGAAGTGGAATCATGCAGTCCTTCTGTGACTGGCTTATTTCACATAGTATAGCAGCCTCTGTGTAAGCAGAGACCTCCCTTACTCGCAATGCATTGGGGGTGACCCCCATTTATGTGACCTAAAAAAGGTTTTAAACATAACAGCTAACATTTATTGAGTATTATGAATAAGCAATGAGCTAGGGGTTTTATTTTCCATTTTTAAAAATCATGGATAGTTTCAAACACATAAGTAGACAGAACGGTGTGATGGCCCCAGCTTCAACAATATCACCCCAAGGCTGATCTTCGTTCATTTCAAACCCTGCCCACTTTCCACCACTGCTTATTATTTTGAAGAAAATCCCAGACACCATATCAGTTCATCTGTAAATTCTCCAATGTATATTTCTAGAAGAACTTTTAAAAAATAACCACAATCCATTATAACACAAAAAATAGTTGTTTAATAGTACCAAATATCTTAGTGTTCAAATGTTGCTGATTGTCTCATAAAATTTTAGTTTATTTGTTTGAATCAGGGTCCAAAAAAAAGTACATACATTGCATGCACTTGATTTGTCTCCTTAGTTTCTTTGATTAATAAGATTCCCCTACCCCCACCTTTTCTTTTTCAGCTTATTTGGTGAAGAAACCAGATTGTTTGTCCAAAAGGAGTTGCCCACATTTTGGAGTTTGCATCCCTATTAGTGCCATTTAATGTGTCCCCTTGTTCCCTGTACTTCCTGTAAACTGGCTTGATCAGATTCAAGTTCAGTGTTTGGGACAAGATTTCTTTTCTTTCGTGATGTTAAGATTGATCAGGGGTTCAGATGCAGTCAGCTTGATTCATTCATTATAAAATGTTCCATCAGCTTTTCATCTGCTAGTTTTAGCAGCCATTGACCATGGCCTGGACACATTATATCACTGGGACTGAAAGTGGTGATATCCAAATTCTGTCATTCCTTCTGCATTTGTAGACTAAAATTCTAAAAAGAATTCACCACTAGCTGTTTGGTCACTTGAAATAGAGTCCATACAGCAAAATCAGGAGAGCTGCTCAATGCTCTCCTTTACCAAAAGAAGAGTCAATTTCCTAGCAATCTTTCCAAAGAGGGCCAATAGGTTTTTTAGTACCATGTTAAAAGTGATTTTTAAATCTGTCACACATTACAGACATCACTATTTTGGGGTTGGCCAATGGGTACCCTTGGCCCTAGAGTCCTTGTTACTTCCTGCCTAGGTCAGAGATCAGAGGTCAAACTGAAGCCAGGGTTAAGGGTCAGTTGACATCCATGCTTTAAGCTTTAAATCTCACCAAATGCCTCAGCACCTGCTTACCTCCCCCCACCCCCGCAGGCTCAGGTCCAGGCTCGCTTCTGCCCCAGATCCTGGTCATGAGGGCCCTGAGCGTTGCCATAGGACATGACCACTTCCTGTGTGGCTTGGTCCTCCCAGACCGCCAGAGCCCTTGAGCCCACTCCTCATGGGAAAGTCTCTGAGTTCCTGAGCCCACCTCTGACCCCACCTGAACCCTGCCCCATCCTGCTTCATGAGCTATATGCCCACCAA